GTCATGAATAATAGGTACTGGTCAGAGAGAGAGAAAGTCAGTTACAAGACTTGCCAGCTCATACCGTCTTTCCCCAGACGGTCCCAGTCAAGAACCGGTAGCAAATTGCATTTCATCTAGTCATTCAAATCCCCTAAATTTGCAGTAACATCAGATACTTCGGGAGATAAGATTTTCTTGTAGTATCTTTCCTTCCCACATAATTCAATGGCAACAGCTATGCTGCTTCTCTCTTACCTTTTAGTTGACCTTGTTTTTCAGGGTTTTTTCTCTACCTGTCTCGTCAATTATTTTTTCCTTATCACTGCTAGTACAGGGCACAAAAATGGATCAGCATTTTCTTTGGTGCTTGCATACAAAGAACGTCTAAAATTTGGACAAGGTCTATCAATTTACTACTCCATTCTTTCCTACGGTGACCTATCGACATTCTAAACGTGACAACACGCAATTTCTAAATACTCTGATGCTATGAATGCAACTTACAAAAGCTTCATGCTATATATATATAAGGAAATTGCAGATCTCAAGCTATATATAATTTTAAGCAAGGTTACACCTTATTCCTTCTTGTGCAGCTATGTCACCAGGCAATAAAGAATGCAAGATTCAGGTGATGAGAGAAAACAAGAAAAAGGCCTGACCCTATATACTAAGCCCTTTATTGAACATAGCTCTAGGTCCTGTTTCAGGGAATAAAAACCAAAGTAAACTGTATTTTGATGGCCATTGCCATCACCACTTACAAGGACATTTGCAAATTAAGGTTCACAGACCTACCTGATGAAAGCTCACTGCGTCATTAAAGGAGCAAATGACACCTTTCATAGAAATAGCATCGCCTCAAAACTTTGCTTCATGACCTTAAGAATGGCAAAATGGCAATGATGATTACACCACTTTTTGAAATACATACAGCCATATACTGAACTACAACTAAATACTTAGGAAAGTCCTATACATACAAGTTCTTAATCCCCAAATACTTCCTCTTTCAAGTATAAATTACAGAAATCACACCAATTTGCTCACCGGTGGCAACCTACAGCGTAAGCACACGTAACCAGTGTAATTCTCAAACTGAAGACAGGGTTTATGAACCACCCAGAGTAAACGACCGCATCTGCCACACACAAGCCTGAATATGTGTAACTTCTAGCAATGAACGTCACCGGGCTAACGTTAAACAAAAGTACCAATGCAGCGCTTCCAACAGGGTCAGGGCTTTGTAAAAACGAAAGGCCTATTCTCTGGGAGTTGAATAAGCGAGATTTTATCATCTCATGGAAAAAAAAGTTAGAGAGAAATGCTGACTTCAACACAGGGGAAGAAGTACCTCTGCTAGGACGTGTTTGCTGTGCAAATTAATTCCTGAGGATTTTTTTTCAAATTCAGCTGAATTCTTGACCTTCCTGTCTTAGCTCTGATAACATTTTTCTACACTGTCAGTGCAAAACAAAAAGTTCACAGCCTCTGCATTGCTGATAACATTCTGTTCTTCAACTTCAGTAGTTCGGGCCTTTTATTGGATAATGTTATTTCTCCTTTAATTGATGGATCTTCCCTTCATTAATCTTTTCTATTGAATCAGCAACTAAACATTTCCTGCTATCAAAAATATTTAACACTGTGGTTCCTGTTCAACAAGGCAGCATTAATATTTCACAGTAAATGTTAACATTTTACAACCTTTATCTCTTACTTGCTTACTTCCTGGCCTCTTTAGGGTAAGGACCAGCCTATTCATAACATAAAACCTTCTTAGAAATTACAACAGAAAATAATTCCCCTTAAATAGTTCAGTTAGTCAGGCATACGTTATGAAAACAAAAATTTAAAAAACGCATTGTGAAATCAAAATTCAAAGAGTACAAGGAGTTGTAGAAGAAAATAATGAATGTGTTTAACTCCATGATGGAAGTGTCAAGACTTTCTATGCAGAAATAAAAGTAAACTTATTTCCAAAATTACAATGAAAACCAATCCATAATCTTCAGGCTTCACATAATCTATAGGCTTCGTATTTGATTTCAAAACTGGATAAAGCAGAAAGTGTGGCAGGTATCAAATGATTTAGAATGCAAAAGCTTAAAAAATACCCTCTGAAAATAATTTCAAGAACTGCTTAAAATGACACTACTTGGATAAAACATTAATCAGCTGAAATAAAATTCAATTTATGGAAAAAGTTACAGCCTCATATACGAGCTACTTAAGAATTCAGCAGCATCTCTAAAGACATACCGGAGTAACGGAGTTCGAATGCACGCAGGATTTCTACCCCGTGTTGCAGTAGGAGACAGGAGCGTTTCAGCTGTAGTAGAGCACCAAGCCAGCCGTTATTAACGAAGCTGTCTAATGGGCTGAAACTCAGCCACGCATGAAAACCCAGCAACAGATACTTCTGCGCTCCATGAAAGCTCATTTTTCACGACCACCACCACATGACATTTAACTGTTTAAAAGTAAGCTGGTAGCTAACTTGCAGAGTTGATTCCCCTGCAGTTCTGCACAGCATTGCACTAAAGAAGATTTGAAAGATTTTCATTATCCAACCAAAATGCCGTACGTTCGGTTTCCTTACTTTCACTGAACTCAGAAGATTTAATAAGCAATTTATTTAATTCCTGTACAGCAGACACATGACTAGGTGATGATAACGCATCCACTAAGTGTGTTCATTTTCTTCCTTAAAGGCTGTTGACTTCATAAGATTTTATACTATATTGCAAAGAAGTCCTCCAAAGATGACGCTCATGTTTTTCTTTCGTTTACTGGCTCTAAACTCCAACTGTAGTGTGTTCATGTAATACAATGCCTCGCCTCCAGGAAAGCGGGATGAGGATCTGTCAAAGCGAAGGAAACCTCGAAAGCGAAAATCTTTGTAAGAAAATAGTGTAGAAAGATAAAGGAAAAAACGTGGGAAAGTGACAAATTAAGCGCAGAATATGGTCCTAAGAGATGACGATGTCCCGTTTTTTCAGGCAACCTTGTGGAAGTGTATGTTGTGTGTAGGCCTGGTTTTATGATTCAGTCCATTGGCCAGGAAGGGACTCAACCCAAAGATCTTAGAAAGAAGATAAAAACATGAAGTGCCCCAACACCTCTGCCAGATCACAACAGGAGCAGCGATACCGACACAGAAGTAAACTAAATAAGCTCTTCTTTTTTTTTTTCTCACTATTTGAAAAGGCCAGATGAAACATTGTTATCTTACGCTGAAAACCTTTATTGTCCAACAGGGTATGGGAAGTTTTAAATTTTCAAGACGTCAGAAGTCTCATCCAACAGCTTTAAAAGAATTGGCCGAGGAGCCGAGAACTATCGGCACTTACATTTAATGAATTTTCTAATCCCTAGGGACGTGGTGGCAAACCCGCGTAGAAACAAAGAGGTACATTATGTCGGTAAACTTCACATAGGATCAGAGTTACCATTCAAACTATGTCATCTGATGTCGGCTCCAAGGGGCAGGGAAGAAAAGAGGCTGATGGTAACAGAGATAATCATCGGGGGAAAAAAGGAGGTCTCCTTTGAAATAATGCCAGCCTACGCGGCTGATGCAAACTGGCTCTTGTCAAGCTAGTTATCAAGATTCAAGACGATCACAAGTTCAGCTGACAAAATTAATCACTGCCTAAAGCTATGGGGCATGGCTAAAGGCATTTTCCTTTGCGCTCCGATGACATTCAGGCAAAAGAAAAAAAAAAAAAAAGGCACAACAGCAGATCAATACAGCATACACCAAATGTAGCAAACAGGGACTTACGGTCTACTTGTGTCATCCTTAGTGAGATTCTCTACCTTTTTTTCTTTGCCCTAATACTGTTTATTAAAAAAAAAAAAAAGGATGATTTTTGTTCATTTTTAGAAGACAAGCTAGGACATGCTAAATTATGGAGTATGTAGATTAGGCAGCAAACCAGGCTGCTGAAGCCATACATTTACCTCCAGCAGGCACCATCATTAACCAAGTAATACAGGTCTATTTTGCAAGACAGTGAACCTGGAAGTCTTTGGCGTGGACCAAAAGTTTTTTATGAACTCTTCGTTTAGAACATATATAGTTAAATAGCCTAACAGCATTATAATGAAAAATTTTGCAACTACATAATTAATTTCTATCAACAAAGCAAAGACATTCTCCCTTGGTTTTTGACCCATCTGATTTCAGGGCTGCGTTAATGAACGCTGCCCGTTTGCACGCAGGGAACAAAGCCATGATGTCCTTCGGAAGCAGCAGCGCACGCGGCACGAACAGAGCTAGCGCTGCCCACCCCCGACACCACCACTCCCGCTACAGAACCACCTCAGCGGGGACCCTGCCGCTGGCATCCCCGTCCCGCGCAGCCCTCCTAGCGCACCAGTGCCCAGAGAGGACCTTCCTTCAGCCGATCCGAAAACTTAAAAATGCTTTTCTCCCTTATGCAGATTTCACGCATGTCCTGCTTTATTCATCCTATTTAAATACTGGATTAGTAAAATAACTGCAAATCTACGTTATCTCCTCGACACGCCTGTCAGACTAATCTACAGTCCAATTCCTTAAGAATTTTAGATCAGAGGAATGTCATTTCCAGCATAGCTATCAGCAAGGGACAAATCTGGTGAAAAATACAAAGTTTTAACTTGCCCCTTCCATACCTTTTTGTCATTGCTACTTCTCAGTATCAACTACTTTAATAATCACTTACTATGAAAACAGTTAAGGAGCATTGCAACAGGAATTTGAGTGTGTAATTGCCCCGCTTTCCTGAAATCGGAAATTTTCAAGAAAAAAAAAGGATAAAGAACCTAAGATGACATCTCACAACAGAAAGAGTTTTTAAAAACACAAGGAATTCTTAATGAGCTATCAGATCTCGTAATTATTTGGATAGTTAAAGGCTGAGAAGGCCAAAATATTCCTACTGATGCAATCTGAAGGCAATCAAGTAATACAAGTTCACATACTTGAATTAGCAGACACACACACAAAAGAAAAACAGAGACATGCTTAAGGGGAGGCCAAATTGTTTTATTTAATTTTTTAGTAACCAATTGGATTTTTGGCAGAAAGCTCTGCTCTTTTTTTTTTTTTTCTTTTTTTTTTTTTTTTTTTCCTTTCTTTAAAGAAATCAGCAGTGCTCAAATTGATGGGTTGGAATTTTACTCAAATTCCAGTTAATTTTAAAAACAAACAGATGAACAGGAATTCCAGATACTGTTTCCAGAGCAGAGAGTGAAACTTCACACTTGTATGAAAATTCCATGTTTATACTGGATTGGGACACAGAATGTAAAACTATTGTCAGTAGTGCATGAATAGAACATTCACATTTGATCTGGAACCTTAAAATCAGAAAGCTGTACTCTCCTTCCAAAATTTTCATTACCTTGTGCAAAGCAAGTCAAGTCTTCACGTGTCAAGCACACAGTTAAAATTGTCCATATTTTATATACAAGACATCTACCATTCAGGCAGTGCAAAATACATCCTTTCATAACAAAACTAAAATGTACCTCTCAAAGTATGAACAAGAATATACACATAATACATGATGTACACTATTTACACAACCATAAAAAATATAATACAAGGATTTTTTTTTTTTTAATGTGATTATAAGACTTGACAGTCTTTTGCAATTTTTGTTGCAACAAGGCATGTTTAAGTTTCCTGGATGGAGTTTTCTTTGCCAATTACTCAAGAGATCTCGGAAACTATGCTTGAACTTTTAGGAGAGTTTTCAAATGGACTGCCATCAACTCCCTGTTTTGGTCAGACGGTTCAGCTGTGCCCCCCACCCAGTGGCTGGGAGGCTTTGGAAGGACACTAGGAGATGGTGGGTCACTAAATTTTGCCCCAGCGTAATTTTCTTTTTGGCTCGCTTCGGTTAGGGTGATAGGTTTCTTGGACTTGGCGTTTCTGAAGTTCTCTGTGTTTTTAAGTGGCTTTTTCTCCTGCTTCTGAATTATTTCTGGCGATACAGCATCTTGCCAGAAGTTCTCTATCTTTTTTGCCGAGGTGATCTTTGTCAGCGGCACGTTACATTTACTCTTCTGTCTGTTAATCTTTGGTTGTTCACACAGATGTAAACTGTGAACGGGCTGACTGTAGGGGATGGCAGCTTTCTCAGTCTTTCCCATCTTGTTCTTTAAGAACTGCAGAGACAAAGAACTCACGTCAACCCACGACCCCTCTCCTCAAGAGGTGCCGCCGGCAGCGCACGGCCACAGTGCGGCCA